ACCACTTTCTTTCTATATCATTTAGGGGTGGAAATAGGTACGGTATCGGTATCACAATACCAAATACCGAAATCCCGAATATCAAATTACATCCTAAAATCAATCAAAATTTCAATCCCTAAATATTTCGGTATCCCAATTCCAATCTCTAAATATTTTGGTATCCCAATCGGTACCTCGGTATCCCAATCGGTATTATCGAATACAAAATTAATTACCTTTGCAATTAATAATTAAATATAAAAATGAGATTGTATTTTTTAATTTACGACAAAGAGACTAAGCAAAGAGTTTTGAGTTACCTAGAGATAACATTTCAAGCTCTTGTAAATGGTAATCTTTAATTTGACAAATTACAGGTTGAGAGACGACTAATACTAGTGTGAAATAGCGATGTAATGATCTATGTATAATTAAATGACACTCTTGGTGCTTGAGGGTCGCGTAGTAATGAATGAAAGAGTGTAGTTGAGAGAATAAAATACACACTAGCTTATATTTCGGTATTGATCGGTATTTCAGTATATACTTATCTCAATCCCGTAATCCCTAATACCGAATAACAATTGAAATTCAATCTCAATCCCAATCCCGCAAAATAATACGTGTATTCGGTAATACCAAATATAGATAAATTCGGTACGGTATTCGGTATATCCCAAATATCGGTACCAAACTTCCATTCCTAACCATCACCCATACAGTTATAAGCTAAGTTTCTCTCATCCTTTGTGTTCTAAAATTAACGAGGGTATGCTAGTTAACCTTGCATATAAGTAGTTGACATACACAAACGTATATTTAGTGCAGACTGCAGTCATGATTTGTTGGGACTTTTGGGACGAGGGTACACGTACGATAGCCCAAAACTGGGTGACCAGGATTGTGATAGAGTCGTGAACTGCGTTCACTTTCCGAAAAGAATATTTTCACCCTCTACAAAGTCTTGGGTTACAAGAAATTTCTCCCGATGATAAAACTATCACCGCTTTAGGTTCTAGGCTCAAGAACACTAAAACATACTTAGAAATTTTTGGAAGAAAGAAGAAGAATCTGGTTTTATGGTATATTGCATCATCCACCCCATACACATATTTATAGGGGCCGAATCCATGAATTGTTTCATGAAAGGTTGTCTTTATCCATACGAAAGGTTGCCTTATGCATATGAAAGGTTGCATCTATCCATATGAAAGGTTGCCTTTATCCATAAGGTTATCCTTATTCATAAAATAATGCAACCGCCACTAGACCAAAGGGATGTGTCCCTTCATGGAATTAGAATACGGTTCGGTCAGTCTAATCCCAAACCGGTTGGTCTGTCCAACCCAAAACTGGTTTGACTTGATTAGTCCGGTTTAACCAAATTTCCAACATGATTGTCCTCATTCTATACACTCGTTATAATGAAAATTGTTTGTAAATGATGACGAGGTAACATTACATGGACATTAAGGATGAATTAACTAATTAAAGTTATATTTACAAGTATTTTGAGGAATGAGGATCAACTCGAAGTTTGCTATCCGACTTTTTGAGTTATTAAGATTCATTAAATATAAGAAAAAAAGAATACAAAAATCAATGAAAAAACCACCACTAGATTATTCATTCACAACAACACACCTTGCCCAAAAGAAAAGAGCAAAATCCTCTACCAAACACACAATTAACAACAAAACCACATTAGAGTACCACTACAAATTAACCTTGTAACCTTAAATCAAAGCCAAAAAAAAAGTCAAGCATACACCCATTAACAAAGCCTAATCTTACAACACATAACGATCCATTAATCCGAACCATTTACCAACATAAAGAGAAGAAAGATGCTGATGACGATGATCAGAGGTCGCGGACCTCGAACATGTTGCGGTTCTTGACGACGATGTCGTACATGTGCATGGGCTTGAGCCTGTTGAAGTCCCTAGGGAGGCTGATGAGGTGGACCGTCGACCTCTTGTGGAACTGGAGCAGCTCCGGGTCGTCGTAGTACCTCTCCCACCCGAGCTCAGACAGCTTCCGCTCCAGCACCGCGTACGATGTTATCACCTCGTTGCTCGGCACGTGCACTAGAACCTTCCTCGCTCGAGCCCCCGACGAAGACTCATTTGCCGGGTTCTCCACCAGTCGTACGACGCCGTTCTTGAACACCCACACTCCCGACATCTAGCTAGCTAGCTATGTCGTTTTGTGCTTATCAGAAGTGAGTTTTTGCTCTCAGAGTTGGGAGTATAGTATGAACTGCGAACTAGAGAGAGATGAGTTGGGAAGGTTTGGGAAAGGGAGGGAGGGTATTTATAGGGAGAGTATTCCACAATCCACATAGGATGAGGATTATAACGTAGTGAATTGATTAAGGGCATGTTTGGTTGGATTGATGTAGTGGGGCCATGGGAGGGTTCCATTTTGGTTTGAATGCTCTGAATTTTTTGATATAGAATGGGAATACCTGGAGGATGGGAAATGGGATTTTTATGTAAGGAATTGTTTGGTTGGGGTACATTTGTTCCCATCACTCGTATTGAATGCTTGTGTCTCTGGTAGTATTAGTCTTGATAAAGATTGAAGGGAATCTATAGCTAGCTATTATGTTTTGTTCTTTTGTCTCTTTTGATTTGGATTTCTTTCTTAAGCCGCTAAATTCCTTACTTTATTCCGTATGAGGTATGTGAGAGGACCATGTTTGAAATTGATTGTTTTTAGAAAATTATTTCTCTCAGAGAGAACTAGAAGGTTGCAGACGGGACGATGCGTTATTTTTTTCGCTTTATTCTTATGAATTATCGTCAGAGTTCGATTACTGAAAACATTTTGTTGTTCAAAATATTCATTATTGTACTGGCTGAGTTTCTAAGGATAACAAACGGCGAATTCGTAAGACGTTCAAACCCAAAACCAGCCAGTTCCAAAACGTGTATCGAATTAAAATTCTGTTGATCTTTTCATTCGGTTCGTTGTCCTATGTGAACGAAAAGTGTGGAACTTGAAAGGACGAGATCAGTAATTTGTATAAATCTTAAGGAATCTTCAAATGTATGCACACACAAAAACACAATACCAACTCATTAGAACTGGTGAAGCCTCCCTGAAGCTGCCTCCCACCGTAAGGAATCTTTTGTTTTGTTTTGTTTTGTTGGAAAGAGATAGCAAATGAGATCGGGAAGTACATATTCTAGCTAGCTAGCTAAGAGAAAGAGGATGGATGTATGTGTGTGTGTGTGTGAGTGAGAGCTCATTTGAAAACGATATGTTCTTGGAAAAGTATGGTTCTGTATGTGTATGGTATAATAATATGGTGGGGAAGGCTTCAAAGTTTGTAAAGCTAACTTTGTATACAGATTTCTTTGGTTTTCTCTAGATAAATTGAGTTATTGAGATTATATATTGTGGTTTCAAATAGTATAATTGGTGGGATTACTAAAAAAATTTAGATAGAAATTAACAAAGCTCCTTTCGAAATTTTCAAAAACTAAAACACGAGATACCCTACCCACCGGCTTGGGTTTCTGTGCTTAAGCCCAAAAGTTTAAACATATTGCCTTAAGTCATTCTATTGGTTGATAGTGGATTAAGTAGTTAATAAAGAGTTACTGGTTAATAGGTAGTTGAGGATAAATAGGGTATTGGTATTGCAAATGTAATTAATATTAATAATTGATTATTTCTCTTTCCTCCCATAACTTTCTTCATAACCCTCTCTCTCCATTACAATTTTATTTTGTAAGATTCTCTCCGCTACAATTAAAAGGAAACCCGAAATTAATTTAGTTAAATATTAATATTTAATAAAATTTGAACTTAATAATTTTCCCCTTTTTAAAATAGAAATTATTAAAAATCTGCTCTCTCACTTCGTGACAACTTCCAATGTAGTATTAACGTTTTGCAATGACATTATCAACGTATATGAAATAAATCATTATTACTATACCTTATCATTATTAACGATAACAATATACGTATCAATTCTTTACAATTGTATTATTAAGAATTTTGAATCAATCGTTATCGTTTTACATTTTCATCATCAAAGTTTATGAATGAATCATTGATTTACAACATTTATACTAATGATTCACAATGTCATTGATTCACAACTTTATCATTATTGATACTATTAGTAATGAGCTCCCAAAATGTTGTCATTAATTGTTTATTAGACTTGTTTGGTGATTATATTTAACATTGCCAATTTTTCATTAATTAGTAACATCATGTCATGTGTGCACATATAGTTTTCATTATCAAATGTTTAATAATCATTATTATCAACTTTTACATGAAATGTAGTAGGCCAAATTCTCTTGTTTGAAGTACCGCTAGTCCGGTTAGGTAATTCATTTTTTCTTTAGAGGAACTATTTCACAACCTCAAATATCGGGAGTAGAATAAAATTCCATACATACAACCATAGTTGTCAAAAACGGGATTTTACGTAAAATCAAAAATGGGGGAAAATCTTAATCTTAAAATCGTAGGATTTTAAGGACCATATAAAAACAAAGACGGAATAATATTAATAAAAAAATCATAAATAACACAAAAACACATAATATTACAATGATACTTTCTCAAAGTTAATCTTCCAATTTATTAAGGTTAATGTTGGAAAGTGGTGAATCGATAATGATTAATACGTTGGATGTGAATATATGATAGTTAGTGTAAGAGAAGTAGATGATGTTGGTGGAGGAGAAGGAAAAGATGCATAATTTTGTAAATTATTTGGAAAATAAGTAAAATTGACCCAAAGAATTTGAATTGTAAAATTGTAAGATTTTAAAAATCTGATAGTAAAATCTAGATCGGAATAGATAAGTAAAATCAGAAGATGGTCGAATTTTAAAATTTAAATCTCAATTTAATTTGACCGCACACAACCTGCAAAGTCTATTATGACATATTGGCTTATTCAATATACTAGATACTAGGTAAATAACATTAGAACATTTTTTTTTTTTTGGTACGAAACAGAGTGCTAAGGGCGCTCTAACCCTTTAATTAACGATAGTTCGCTGGGTCTGGACCCCAATAGTGTCAAAATACAACCAATGCCGCAGGGTAGGGCTCGGGACATCAACCAAATGAACTCCTATAGGTAACGAATGGCCAACAGACGCCAAATAATCCGCAACATAGTTGCCTTCACGAAAAACATGTACTAGCTGGATCTCCCAGTCTCTGGCCAGCAGCTCTCGGATAGATGCTATCAAGGTATAGTGTGGATTATGGTGATCCGCATCCTTGAGCAGGTTTGTTGCCGTTGTCGAATCAGTCTGTAGTATCACTTTCCGTAGTCCCTCCTCCCAGGCCACCCGCAACCCATAAGCTATGCCTCCCAACTCTGCATGAGTAATCGATCCACCACCTAAATTGGCGGCAAAAGCCTTGATGAATCTCCCATCACATCCCCTGAGCACTCCACCCGCAGCAGTGCTCTTCTGAGCTAAAACAACTGAGCCGTCAGTGTTTAAGCAAACCCAGCCTGTCGGAGGACGGTCCCAACTTATCATACCACTTCGGCTTCCCCCACTGCTGCTCGTGACTGCGCTCGCCGAATCATAAGCTTGGCGGGTCTGATCATATAGCATACGCGCCTGGTGAGCTAATTGAGTGGCTGGCGCTAGCTTTCCCTCAAAAACCATGTTATTTCTGTTCTTCCAAAACTGCCAGCACAGAATGGCAAACATAGGAGCTTCAACCACACTACTTTTGCCTCCAAGATAATGCATTACCCACTTGTCCACATCCCCTTCATTAAAAGGATCATCAGGTTCGCCCTCAAGGAAATGAGACCAAACCAGCCGAGCATAGGGGCAATCCCTTATAACATGCATCACTGTTTCCATCTCACCCCCACATATTTTACAGTCCGCCGACGAAGCTAGGTGACGACGAAAACGTTCTGAGTTAGTAAGGAGTTTTTGATGCAGTACTAACCAGAAAAATGTGCGAGTACGCTGGGGTCCTTCAATGCGCCAAATACTCCTCCACTTCGGATGATGGTGTGGATCTTCCTCTTCCCCACGAACGAGATCATAAGCTGGTGTGGAGCGTAAATCGCCCCGAACTTGAGAATCGCCAAACCGGTATATCATCTCCTGCCGATTGCGGGATCGGATGTAACTGCACTTGTTGAGCTATCCCTTCGGGGAGGAAAGCCCGTATAAAGTCCATGTTCCAGCTGCCATTCAGAGTCATCTCGGCCACAGTCAGCCGCTGTGCTTCACTCGGGAGGCTGGCCGCAAATTGCACTAGAGGCGGCCCATCAAATAACCATCTATCCGTCCAGAACATCGTCAGCATGCCACTCTGGATGTTCCACATTAGTCCTTCGGGGATGTAGTGAAGGATTCGCAGTACGCCTCGCCATAGATTAGATAGTCGACCACTTACTCTCGGCTTCCATCCCCCTTTCGTGCGCTTTAAGTACTTTCCTCGAACCACCCGAGCCCAAAGACTCTCTTGCTCAGTCAGCAGCCGCCAAGCTATCTTCATCATAAAAGCTTCATTCATCTTAGTTGCATTCCTCAGCCCCAAACCCCCCTCCTCCTTCGGCCTGCACACCGTATCCCAATCTATCAAATGAATCTTCCGTCCCTGCTCCGAACTCCCCCAGATAAATTCTCGAATTTTCTTGTCAATATACTCCCTAACAGAAGCGGGGAGAAGAGAAGTTTGCATCGTATACGCCGGTAATGATGATATGACCGCCTGTGCTAATGTAACGCGCCCAGCAAGAGATAGGGACTTGACTTTCCACCCAGCAAGCCTGGAGTCGATCCGATCAATAAGCTCAGTATACGTGGCTTTAGATACCCTGTCATGTATTACTGGCACCCCCAAATATCGCCCCAAATTCAGCGTCACAGGAATGTCGAGTGCCGCGCTAATATCTCCAATTTCCGAAGCTCTCACATTCTTGGAAAAGAACACTCTTGATTTTGGGCAGCTAATCTGCTGACCCGAAGCCGCGGAGAACTCCTCGAAGCATTGCATAATCACGTTTACCTGCTCCATAGAAGCTTCACTGAAGAGAATTAAATCGTCAGCAAAAAAGAGGTGAGATAGCCTGGGTCCCGGTGACGACAACCTGATGGGTTTCCACTCTCCCCTATCCACAGCAGCCGAGATCAAGTGACCTAACCATTCCATACAAAGAGTGAAGATGTATGGAGATAGTGGGCAACCTTGTCGCAATCCTCTGGTAGGGTGAAAAGCTTTTGTAAGTCCGCCATTCCACTGGATCTGCATGCTGGCAGAAGTTATACACTGCATAGTGAAATCAATAAAGCTCTGGGGAACTCCGACTGCTTCCAAAGTATCACGAACAAAACTCCATTTAATTCGATCATACGCCTTGGCCAGGTCAATCTTCAGGACCATCCACCCCTTCCGACCCTGCTTAGCTCGCATCGAGTTAATGACTTCCTGCAAAACACATATATTGTCAGTTATATGTCGTCCCGGGACAAAACTCGTCTGAGTCTCATGGACCAGCTCTGGCATCATAGGCTTGATCCTTTCTGCCAAACATTTAGTCATTATCTTGTAGGTCACGTTGCAAAGACTAATGGGCCGAAACTGCTCAATCAAGGTCGGTCTCTGGATTTTAGGGATGAGTGCTACAATCGTCTCATTCACCACTTCGATCCGCGTCGGGTCACTCCAACAATTTTGGATGAAATCAATCACTGCCGGCCCTGCGATTTCCCAACACCGCTGATAAAACAACGGATTTAGGGAATCCTTGCCTGGTGCCTTCAGCGGACCCATTGCCCTGACCGCCTGCCAAATCTCCTCCGCCGTAAAGTTTGTGTCGAGCCTCTGAACTAAATGGGCTGGGATGGGGTCGAACGCAGCCAGCAGGCTTCTTGTCGGCGCACCGTCGTCTGAATAAAGAGTAGTAAAGTACGCTCGTGCCAGCTCAAGAAGTCTCACTTGATCTTCGATCCACTCACCCGCATCATTCTTTAAAGCCACCACTCTATTTCGTCGCCTACGTTGGATCGCTCTTGCATAGAAGTACTTCGTGTTTCGATCAGCTGAAATGATACAATCTAGACGTGACTTCTGGCACCAAAGAAGGTCTTCTTGAAGTAGAACAGTTTCTAGCTCCTCCCTGGTCTCTTTAAGTGCTGCGATCTCTGAGTCTCCCCCATACCTTCTCTCCAATCTTTCTATTTTTGCCAGCAAAGAACTTTTCCTTCTCATAATATTTCCAAAAGTTTCAAAATTCCATTGCTTTGCTTCGGCTGCAAAAGACTCAATAGAAGATACCAAGTCCGTTCCGCGGCTCCAAGCATTTAGTGCCATGTCCCCAAAGCCCTCGTGTGTTAACCATGCCGCCAAGAATTTGAAGGGTTTGGGTCCAATAGCCTGGTACACCGGAGTGAGCTTGATGAGCAAAGGCCGATGGTCACTTTTGACACGCGGGAGGCGGGCTACAGAAGTGTCCGGGAAAACAGTTGCCCATGCAGAGTTGGCGAGGCTTCTGTCCAACCTCTCTCTCGTCCCTGTTTTGAACCAAGTAAAAGGCGGCCCTTTGAAACCCAAATCTATGAGACCCGCATCCAAGATACAATCCTGAAACTCACGAGCACGACTCGCGTCAAACGGGGCTCCTCCCATCTTGTCCGATGGTTGGAGTATCGAGTTAAAGTCTCCTGCCAGCAGCCAAGGATCCGTCATACCCTCCGCAATTCCCCAGATCGCTTGCCACAGCTCGCGGCGCTGAACCAGAGCTGGATTTGCATAGATAGCAGTAAGAAACCAACATTCACTCTCACTGGTAGTTACTTGGGCATGGATAAACTACGATGAACGATCAACCTCAGTGACATTGCCCGCCACGAGTCCCATGCCAGCCAAATGCCTCCCGCAAAACCTTGAGCATCAACCACAAGTTGTTTGTCATACCCCAAGTCTTCAACAACTTTTCTTGCCCTATCCCCGCTTATCCTCGGCTCCATAATAACCACTATACTTGGACGATATTTCCTCCGGTATTCACGAAAAACACGCAAGAAGCGTCTGCTTCCTGCCCTCCCCCCCCCCCTACAATTCCATGTAAAGATACTAGACATGATTACTGATGGAAAGGTAGGCCCCCGTCTGGGATCACGGTTACGAGGTGGGAGGAGACACCCCATCGCTGAGGTCTCCCGTCGACATCTCTCTTGTCAAAATCTCAGGTATTGTCTCCGCCCTTCCTCCTGTTAGTATGTGAGGAGGATCCGGGGGCTTTTTTTTTGCTTAGGTCCCGTACTCGACATAGCCCGGCCCATTCCACTACCCACTGCATCCGCCATAAAGATGTCTCCCACTGCCATTTCTCCCTGTGCTGCTAGAACAGTGGTTCAGCATGGACTATCTTCAAGTGGCTCGGTGGGTTTCGCTGCTGCCTTCCTCATGTTTCCTCCTACTGATTGGGGTATGTCCTGCACCATGCGGTCCACAGTCTCAGTTTGTCCTTGGTTCCTCACTTTCGAAACATTCTCTTTGTTCCCTTGTTTACTCTGATTTGGTTTCTCTATTTGCTTGGCTTTGCTACCATCCACACGAACTATTGGGACACTGGTTGCTTGTCTGTTGCTCCCCTGATCTCGGTTCTCCACTGTTTCCATTAGGTCTTCCGTGTCGAGGGCTGCGAAACGAGAACCTTCTTGCTTATTGCTAGGTCGAGGTTGACCCATTCCCCGTCCTTTACTCGCCCTCTCGTTACCAGCAGCTGGTTCTTTTCGGGTACGCGGTCTTTTCTTCGCTATCATCCACTCTCCATACAAGGCTTCTGGGGCTTTTGACACCTGGGGCATCTCTTCAACCACCGCCTCTGGCTCCTTCGTCTCCGGTGGGCACTGGCAAGAGCATCTATTGCGTTCGGAATATGTGCCACACTTGAGGCAGATTTTCTCGAGACCTTCATACTGTATAAAATACATTTTCCCTTTGATCGTAAACTGAGACAACAACGGTCGCGTAATGTCAACTTGAACACAAACACGAGCATAGTCACTTCTAGCTCCAGTACTCGTTGCTTGATCGACTCGGATTGGCTTCCCAATACGACTCCCAATCTTCATCACTGCGACTTGGTGGAAGTAATGAATTGGGATATCTAGCAGACGTGCCCAAACTAACGTCGATGATATTTCATGTTCATAAGGATTAAAATCCTCAGACCAAGGGTGTACCGTTAGGTAGTTATCACCCACCAACCAAGGACCACCGGTAACAGCCCTTTCATAATCAATGCCACTCGTAAATCTAACGAGAAAATACCCGTTCTTCACTGAGGTAACTTGGAGTGTCCCCGCTTTTGCCCAGATGCCAACCAAGCGTTTTGCCATCAACGTATACGAGACCGATCTTCCCAAAGCTTTGACCACCAGTGCGGATCGCCATTCTCTGCAAAACATCCTCTCTTCAGCATTTGTAAAATAAATCTCTGGGCATTTTGGGTGTTCCTCTCCATTAAACCCTTCGTCAAGACCCTCTCCCCTCATGGCATCCGCAACGTCCTCGGAATCCGAGTCTGCAACGTACCACACTCCCATGCGTACAGTGTCACTAAATAGTCGTCTCGCCGCCCCTCCGCCTGTTGTCCAAGCAGAGGGCTTTGGAGTAGTTGCCGTATCATTGTTATTGTTACCGTTCTCAGTTTCATCAGAGGACTCGTCTTGCATATCATCATCACGGGGAAACAAAACAGTTTGCTTTGCCTTCTTCTTAGTCTGCTGCGCTTCCCGATCACCTTTAGGGTTCGGCGAAGACGACTCCGTTGGAGGTCTGCGCTATCCTGTCAAAGCATCAGAAATCAGGGAGTTGCCAGAGCCTCCCCCGACCAGCGGCGTGCCCACCGCCGACATGGGCTTGCGGAAACCCTAGCTGCTGCGACGAACGAAAAAACCCCTCTCGCTCCTATTTTCTCGGAGCGTTAGCGCTTATCGTTACCCTCCCTGACATTAGAACATATTAACTAAGGTTCCAAAAATATACAAGATAACTAAAATTTGACACGTAGCTAATATATAAGACTAAGCTTTTAATTTAAATATCATAGACTAATATAATCTTATCCCAAAGACGGAAGAACCAAAGGTACATATATTATTCCATACGTGAATGAATATAATTAACCCACCAACCAACTGTAAAGTTATTTTTTAGGTGAACCCAACTGTAAAGTTGCTGCACATCATGTATCTTTTTGGAAATTCTATTCAATTTGTCCAAGTCTTTGTATACAATAAGCCACAATCACATTGCAAGCAATTTGCAAATCTTTTTTCTCACCATCTTTTTCTCCTTTGTTTTCCTCATTGATTCCTACAAAACAAACGATCAGAATCATCCAATGCTAGCTTTCACTACATGTCTACATTGCTATTGTCCCCTTAATGCAGAAAATTTTGGGGGCATGGAAAAGGAAAAGCTTTAGACGGAAGCAAAAAAGAAAAAGATACTCATTGGGATCTATTCTTTGATAACTACGAAATCCAATCCATTTTTCCAATGGAAAGTAGCCGTGATCCATCTCATTGGCATTTATGCAATGGTGGATCGAGAAATCTTAGAGATAGGGTCCAAAAAAGTTTAACAGATTGGTTCTTTATTGCAGTATATCATTGTTATATCAAGGTAATATTGAAAATTATATCACGGTGGTATGTAATATATCGTTGTCATATGATTGTGGTAGAAGGTGTTATATTTTGTCCAAAATATTATGCTCGAAAAATGTAAAAAGTTGTTAAACACAAGATCAGAAGAAGGATCACAACACAGAACACACAGATTTACGTGGTATCCTCAACGTATTGTTGAGACTAATCCACGGAGAGGGCCAACCTCTCAGAGTCAATTGTATTAACCGAGAATCCTTAGGTTACAAGTTCAGCCAATGTCACATATATATACTGGCCGAATAACCCTAACTCGATGACCATAATGTAATTAACCAATACTTCTACCACAAGGATTAAAGGCTAATTACAATCAACACCCAATACTTCTAACACCCTCCCTCAAATTGATGATGCTTACGCAACATCAATTTGTATGCCAGAAACCAATGACGAGACGTCGCAACAGCTTTGGTCAAGAGGTCAGCTGTCTGATCTTCAGAAGTGATATAAGACAACTCAATCACACCTTCAGCAACTAGTTGGCGAATGTAGTGAACATGCACCTCAATATGCTTAGTACGATCGTGAAGAACCGGATTAAGAGCAATACGAATCGCACTGGTATTATCTGCATATAGCCGCATCGGAAGAACACAAGAAAGACCAAGCTCACCCACCAACCGTCGCAGCCAAACGAGTTCAGAAGTCACTTCTGACATGGAGCGATACTCGGCTTCAGTGGAAGATTTAGAGACTCGCTCTTGCTTCTTACAACGCCAGGAGATAAACGAGAAACCAAGTCGCACACACCAGCCAGAGGTGGACCGCCGAGTATCCAGGCAGCCCGCATAGTCAGCATCGGCATACGCCTCAATCACTGGATCACCAGAGGAAGAAAAGAACATACCAACATCAATAGTCCCCCGCAAATATCGAAGAATGCGACAAACAGCCACCATGTGGGTAGTACGAGGAGCAGACATAAACTGACTAACAACCTGAACAGCATAAGAAATATCAGGCCGGGTATGAGTAAGATATATCAAACTCCCTACCAGGCTTCTATAAGACGATCCATCAGGAAGCAAGTCACCATCAGACTGACGCAACTTCAAATTCTGTTCCATAGGTGTGGCACACGGTTCGCATTCATCCATATTTGCAGTCTCGAGAAGGTCAACTATGTACTTCTGTTGACTAACCAGTAATCCAGCCGATGAACGATGAACTTCTAAGCCCAGAAAGTAGGAAACATCGCCCAGCTCCTTGAGTTTAAACGCAGAATGTAGGGTTCGAGTAAGCTCCTGAATACCCAGTTGATCATCCCCACTTACCAGCATATCATCCACATATATAAGCAACACTGTGATACCACGGGCTGTGCGGCGAACAAACAAGGAGGGGTCGTTGTCACTTTGAGTAAATCCAGCCAACAAGATCGTATCCTGAAATTTCTCAAACCAAGCACGTGGTGCTTGTTTGAGACCGTATAGAGAACGTCGTAGGAGGCATACCTTCGACTTATCTCCGCCCAAATAGCCGGGAGGACATTCCATATAAATAGTCTCCTTAAGGTCGCCATGAAGGAATGCATTTTTAACATCCAACTGCTTAAGACACCATCCCTTCATAGCAGCCACCGCAAACAAGGTCCGGACTGTCTGCATTTTAGCCACAGGAGCAAAGGTCTCTTCATAATCAATACCAAACTTCTGTCGAAAACCTTGCGCCACAACTCTAGCTTTAAAGCGCTCAAGAGAACCATCTGGATGGAGTTTCACATTATAGACCCATTTGGATCCAATGACAGGAACATTAATAGGTCGGGGCACAACCTCCCACGTCTGATTGGCCTCAAGAGCCTGAACTTCAGTCGTCATCGCTGCGTCCCAATCTGGATTCCCGCGGGCCTGTTTATACGAGGCAGGAATGGGAATGTGTGATGTCGAGAATGAGACAAAATCAGTCATGCGAGCAGGAGGCTTCCCTCTCGTGGTACGGTCCGACCGACGTAGCGGGATGGGAGGTTCCTCCACAAGTTCTTCTTCAAGATGAGAATCAGGCGACGAGCTGGAACTTGCTCCCGTTGAGGAGGACATGGCCGAGCCGATAGGGGAAGGAGCATCTCCAGTGAAGGCTGATGCGTGCCGAGAGGAGCCAGAATTCGATGAAGAGGACATCCCAAACTCAAATGATGTCGCATCATGAGGAGGAGAGGGCGGTGGATCAAGCTCAGGCCCAGCAGGTGTCGCCGCAACAGGGAACGATGGTAATTCAAGAAGAAAATCCAGGTCTTGCCGTGGAGCAGACTCCTTGTGATCATAATAGGATAAATGTTCCAAAAAAGCAACATCACGAGAAATCCGGATCCGGCGATTAGGTACGTCATAACAAACGTATCCTTTATGTTTGTCACTGTATCCAACAAACACACACTTCACAGCCTTCGGAGACAACTTGTTTCGCTCACGACTAGGTAGTAAGACGTAACAAACACACCCGAACACTCGCAGCTCTTTGTAAGCTGGCCGTTTTCCAAAGAGAGCTTCATACGGGCTGCATTGATCAAGTATGGGTGTGAGCTGCCTATTAATCAAGTAAACCACAGTGTGAATCGCCTCAACCCAGAAAGTAGACGGGACACAAGACTGAAATAAAATTGCTTGAGTCAGTTCCAAAACATGCCGATGTTTACGCTCAACTAGACCGTTTTGTTGGGACACACCCGGACATGACTGTTGAGGTAAAATACCGCATTCTTTGAACACTTCTTGGAGGGGACCAGAGATAAACTCCCCCCCAGGGTCCGATCGAATCACCTTGACCATCTTGCCAAACTGCGTTTTAACCATTTGCAAAAATTCCTTCGCCACTTTCAGTAAATCCGATTTATGACGAAGAAAGTAAACCCAAGCAAATCGTGTAGCATGATCCACAAAAAGAGCAAAATACCGGAACCCAACACGTGATGTCACAGGAGATGGCCCCCACAAATCAGTATGCACCAAATCAAACGGATCAGAATACTCGGTGGTACTAGCAGTAAATGACTGTTGAGAAAGTTTTGCCTTAATGCAATGAACACAGTCACGAGAATCACAAACTGAACTGCCAGATAACAAATTCTGTTTAAACATATCCAATAATCTAGCCGAATGAGGATGGCCTAACCGACGATGCCATAAATCCCAGTTGGAGAGTTTCACAGAATAGCCAAAATTATCAAAATGACTAGACCCAGATACGACACTAACACCACACGGATTCCTCTGGCTCGCTCCTCCTTCTTCCTTTCCAGGCGATCCACAGTAACTATCCAGAGTGAACACGCGCCCCACCTTAGTCCCGTGGCCTATCTCCCTCCCTGTGTTCTTGTCCTGCACAACACAGCCATGAGAATCAAAGACAACCCGGCAGCCCTGCTCGGCCAACTGCCCGACAGAGACTAGGCTAGGAACAAGATGCGGCACATAGAGGGTATCTTTGAGACATAAACTAGACTGATCAATATTGCCAATACCCTTCGCAGGCAAACAGGTACCATCCGCAACTTGAAGCATAAGAGGAGAAGTAGGACGCAAGGAACTAAACGACGAACTAGTGCCTGTCATGTGATTAAATGCAGCAGAATCAATATGCCAAGAGTTAGGAGAACGAGAAGGCATACCAGCAGTGAACACGGAACCAAGAGCAGTCGGAAGAGCCTCCTTGATTGCGTCCTGAACCAGCTGTCTAATAAAGTCAGCATTCACAGATCCCCCAGGAGGCGCAGCAGCGGAAGGAGTCGCAAC